CATCAAGTGTATTCAGATGCAGATCCAGGCACATGATTACAACAAATGCATGCTGTTTGCAGTTGCTGTGTGCTCCTTCAGACTCTGTTGACGCGGGCTTTGGGCTGAAAGCTGAACCCTGTGTGGTCAGTTCCTGCTCCTGCCAGGTGTTGACCTGTGGCTTCAATCGTAGTACGAACTGGAGGCTGACATGAGCCTGGAAAAGATGAGCTGCTGCCTGACGGTCAAATCAGCAGACGACCATCAGTAGCAATGCTCTCGGCCTCTTGACTTGGCTCAGAGCGCTGCTCCTTTTACCCAGGTTTTTGTGCCCAGCATCTTTTTTCACTGCTCTGTCTCCTCACAGTCTGCTGCTTCCTCTTAGTGTGAACCAATCGCAGTTTTATCTCACAGGAAAACGGCATATGTTGTTTTAATAGAGGCTTTTTGGCCAAATCACCCGCACAGGGACATCAGTGTGTTTAATGTTGCTGTTGGCTGCACATTTGGAGGCCCCACAGGGAATGAAGCTCTTACTCCTGGCAGTGGTTCTGCAGGTGTGGACCAACAAAGACGACACAACCAAGTGCAGGATGAGCCCTTTGCTTCACTGCCTTTGTCTTCACACATTCAGCTGTAGTGTGTTTACAGCATGCTTGAACATTCCACGCCAGCTTTTATAATGATGGGTGTGTTATGCTCAATTCATTAAAAATACATCAATCCAGCTATGACTGCGTTTTCTTCAAAACCTGTTTGATGCAGTGTAGTTTCCAGAAACATGTTTTGTATAACTGATAATGGCCATTTAATGGGGTGATAACATGAAAACTGGCAAATCTCTGTTGTCCCTCATCGGTTCCAGAAACCATATATTGTGCGTGCACATTTAAGGAATTGCCTCAGTTTAGAAAGCCGACTGTACACACAGTGTCAGTGTGTCGCTCTGCACACTGAGCTGCACTCGCCTCTCTGTCAGTAGATCAGAGGGCCCTGCAGCAGCATCTGCAGACTGAATGAAGAGGCCAACGCAGGGCACTCATCACTGCTTTGTTCAGACCTCTGCCCAACACAAAGGAAGGGGAAGGAAAGTGTGGCCACACCGAGGAGCTCACAGTTGTCTGGTTGGATTCAGTGGCCGATGCTATGGTACAGATCATTTAGATTAGCGGTTCCCCAGACTGAGGACTCAGGGCCTCCAGCGGTCCCTGAGGGGCAGCAGGGCATCCCCACAATATGGAGTGAGCTGGTTCCAAGCCTCCTGGAAACATGTTTTTACACAGCTGTGAGTTTTTGGTGATACTCAGCTAGGCTTTATCTGTCATTACACACAGTGTCCAAACAACCTACGGTGCAACACTGTGGAGTCTTTGTGTGCAGGACTAACACACCGTTCTCCTCCATGTTGGACTGTGGTGTCTTTTCCGCCACAGGGTTGTCATCATCACATCTCCAGCAGGCCAGTCAGCTGCTGTGATGGACTGATTGTCTCCGTCTAATTGAGGATTAGTTAAATTAAGTGTTTGTTGGTGTCAGAGTTAATCTGATTTGATCCCAGCTCAAATGTAGTTTAACCAGCAGAGGGTTGTCTGCAGGTCCCGAGGAAACGAGTTGGACCACATCCTGTCGGTGTGCCTTTCCCTCCTGGACCTCAGTCACACTGTCCACTCAACATGTTTTGTTGTAAATGGGAAGGTACATGAAGCGTCACTTAAATTCCATTAGTAGGATGAGAAATGATATTCCCTTCATCTGTGAACATCCCTTTTAGATGCACAGACTGAGCTGGGACAGCAGTTTCCACTGCCGCCAGTCTGTACTGAGCTACAGCAGCCACATCCTCTGAGCTGGACACACCGAGGGGAAACGTCTCCTCGTCTGACTCTGCAGAACATGAAGATGGAGCTGAATCCCAGACTCACTGAGGAATAGATCAGTGACAGGCACCGTCGTCTCAGTGAGAGGAGACGTGTTGTTCTGGGTGTTGGAGGCTCTGCAGAGGAGGAAGCAGCTGCAGTGGCCACACCAACCTCAACACTCAGCCCCACCTGAGTCAGGGGCCCCGCCCGTCCGCCCACAGTGCCAGGACAAGGACCCCAGTCAGCCGGGACAGGAAACACGTCCTCTGCCCCCCAGCCCTGGCCTGCTTCCTCTAATGGAGAGAAAGTGGCTGCTGGCTCGGGTCCCCCTGCTCCTTATCAACGCTCCCATGAGGAGGTGGAGCGCCTATTTTGCTTCTTGGCGTCTCCCTGCACAAACACAACAAACCCCACCCCTCTGCTTTTTATGCTGCTCAGTAAATCCAAAAGAAAGAAAGAAAGAAAGAGCTAAATCAGGTGTTATTTCTACAGTCCAGTAAGACACAAGTGTGCCTCAGAAGGCTTTACAAGGAAAACCCCCAAAGCCTGGAACGGCAGGGATCCCCCTTTATCATCGTAAACTGAACGTCTGGGTTTTCAATCATCATGGACTTGGAGCTTCATCAGTGGGATGGAGTTTTTCACTGTTTTCTGATTATTAATATCACAACTCATTGACCTACCAGGAAGATGATCAGCCGATTGATCAGTAATGTAAATGGTCAGTTGCAGCTCACTGTGTTTTCTCTGTCTGCACTGTTGATGTCTAAGTCACTGAAGCTCATTTCACTGTCAACAATACCTATATGATCCAGTCCAGGGTCTGGTCACATAGATGTACAGCAACTGGAAAAAGAATAAACAATGTAAGAAATATAGTGATAAAGTCTAAGTGTTAGTGCGGCGTGTGAATGCAGCGGTGTGTGTTTGTGTGTCTGCTGTAGGCCTTGTAGTTTCCTGCCTGTTATGGCTGATCTGGACTTCCTGCTTCCCGTGTCCGCTCGGCCTTGAGACAAAGCTTCATCTTGCAGCTAATGCCGAACTCATCACCTTGTGATATTGTTCCTTACATTATCTCCTCTCCTCTGTGAGGGGCCGACGCTGAATGATAACGACAGGCCGTATGTGCAGAGGAGGAGACATTAAAACGAACACGGGGATTCTGATCTGACTGTTCTGACAGCGCTCGCAGTCAGTGGTCGGAGAGGAATCGGGTACACATATGCAGGTGGCCCAGATCTGGTCTGTTCACACTGCTGTGGACACACCAAGGCTGAGTTACTGCAGCTTTGGACACAGAGACAGAGAGATGCTGCATTAGGATTTTTGATTCACCAATAGATATAACGTCACTGAACGTCTCCTTAGATCCGATAATAAAAGCCTTTTTGAAAACAGGTGTCATTCCTCCAGACACAATGAGAATCTGCACATGAATCAGATTCTTTTCACTTCAAATCTGATGAATTCCTTCAATATGTCAGCCTCACGCCTGCCTGAAGGGGGAGGGGCATTAGGACGGTCTTTGTTCGTGAAGAATGCGAGGGGTGGGCCATGGCAGGGTGTCCTGCAAGCTGGCAGATGGCTGATAGGGCGAGCAGACTTTATTCTTTCAGAGCTCCAAGACACACAGCTCAGTGAAGTGTTACACGCAGCTCCACCCTCAGTGATGCTGTGAAATCTGCTGTCACACACTCAGGACATGGACTGGTGCTGCTAGTCTCTGGATGGCATTTAACACAGATGCACAAAACCATTGGCCTTCAACCAAGTGGTGTTAGTTGTTTAAAGTCAACCAGACTTCACCTGTAGAAGTATCAGAAACGGTCAGATGGGTCATTTTGGAAGACGGTAACAAACCTCGTGTTTTGTTGTTGATATAAAACCAGTTGACTCCTGTGAGCTGCTCACTCAGTGCACAGAGCTCCAGGACTCACTGGAGTGTTCATTCCTCTCTAATTGAACTCCTCCTCTCCTGCTCGTCTCTGTCCGGCTTGCCTTCAGGTCTCCCCTTGTTTCAGTGGAAGAGATCAAAGGTCAGTGATGTGTTTGAGGGTCAGCAGTGCATTGTGTTGCCTCCTCTCTGCCCCCCCACCCCCCATCTTTGGCTTGTGGGACAGGATAGGTGTTGCCTTGCCGAGCCAGCACACTGACCTTTGACCTCTCCTCTGCTCACGTACGCGAAGCTTCAGTGCTCTTCATCGATATGATTTCATAATGATTTGTGATCTCATTGATTTTAGGTTGTGTGTTGTAGTGTGAGTGAAAATTGAAAAGAGATTGTGACAAGAAAAGAATTAAAAGCTGCGGGATGCTGAAAGTTGCTCATGACCTTTGTCCCAAAAAGCTCTGCAAATTTGGTAGTTTGTAATTGAAAATCAAAGTCTCAGGGTTTGGACCTGGACTTGGCACCTGGGACAACGGCCCACATGCTTTGACTCCTCTTTCGGACTTGTCTCGCTCATGCGGCTGTTCTGGCACAAACCATCTTGAGAATACGGGTTTGTTTTTTGGTGGACTTGGTGTTGTCTGTATTTTCACTCAGACAGGTCCAAGTCAAAACCTCAGATTTCTAGATCTTGCCACAGGTCTCAGCTGTTACAGTTGCCTTTTTTGTTTTTGCTTATAATATTTTGATTATAATATTTAATATCAATCATTCAATTGGTCATTTGACAGAAAATGTAAAAATGACAAGTTTAGGTCATGCACTAAGCAAACGAGGGTTGTTTTCTGTCAATGCTGGTTCAAAAGCTTTGGACAAAATAAGAGTAGGTCACTGAGCTGTGGGAACAAGTGATGGACAATGATCAGCTGAAAAAAACAACTGAATCAGTGAAAATGATCTTCCTGTAGTCCTGCTTATCTGCATCCATTCAAGAACCTGGAAATGAACAAGTTCCTTAAAATAGCAGCGGTTTGAGCTCAGCCTTCAGCTCTCACATTGATGCTTGGTCGAAACAAAGAAACAGAAGAGAGAAGGAGGAGAAAGTTGCTCCAGATACCAGAAAACCAGAATAAACAGAAAACAGAGTGGGGTTTGGTTTAAAAAAAAAGCCTTCTGCAGAGACGTCATGGAAGAGTTTGGGGAGGGGCGTACGAAAGGAAAGTCTGTGTGCTGAAGCTCATTGAGCCCCTCCTGCCCTGTTCTCCCCTCAACAGATGAGCCGGTGCTACAGGAGGGGGCGAGCGGCATAGACAAACACTGAGAGAGAGGGGGGAGCAGCTGGCGGCGACAGGACGAGCTTCAGTAGTGAAGAGGGAGAGAGGAGGCTGCAGGACGGAGCATGAAGGAGCTGCAGAGTTTCTGTTCCTGAAGACGACAGAAAGGTCAAACTCTTTGTTCACATGCTCACAGCGTTTGTTTCCTTTGTTCACTCAGACTGTCTTTCATTTCCTCCATCTGTGACTTGGACTTGTCTTTCTCCTTTCAACACTTTGTTATAAAGTATTTTTTCTGCTTCAAAAAGTGCAGTTAAATGTGGTTTGTCAGATTTTATAGAACGTATGTGATGCGGCCTCGGTGATTGGTGGCACTGGTGGTCCCCAGCTGACTACCGCTGTCTCATCCTTTCAGACTGAATCATACCTGCAGTGTGTACTGGTCAGTTTTAGGACCAGCAACAGAAATGTAGTAGTGGCAGTAGCAGTACTTGTAGTTTGCTGTAGTTAGTAAAACTGTGTGTATGGCACTTTTCAGAAACAGCTGTTGTCCAGTTACCACTGAATGAAAACCAAAGTAAACATAGATCATAATTGTTTATAATATAAATATATGATATAGTTGGAGCAGTATATGTAGTAATCCTATAATCGTAGTAGTAGCAGCAGTACCATCAGCAGTAGTAATCAGAGTAGAACAGAAATAACTGGCAGTAGTAGTAGTAGTAGTAGTAGTATTCATCATGACTGTATTATCAACTGGGTATCATGGGGGCCCCAGACCCTCAGGGGCCCCTCAAGCCCCAGGTTTACTCTCTAATTTGATTAATCTAAATGAATCACAAACACAACAAAGGTCACAATTCGGTGTGAAACAAATAAAAACAACTCAAGGTCTGCTAATATGTTTTTTCCCAGAGCGTTGAACAACAACACGTTGTGTTTCTCAGGGTGTTTGTTGAGAACTTGCCGTGGACAAGCTGACATGCGAGTCCAGCCGTTGTCTTCGTAGCACTTTGAAGGCTTCTTGTTGTGTTGACGTAAAAGTTAGGTGTCAACCCCCCACGGTAGAAAAGTGGGAGAAAAATCTGGGTTTATGTGTCTACATATGGACAGAAGGCCATTGGTGTTCAGAGACTTTTAAACTGAGATGATGAAGACCTGAAAGCTCCTGGTCATTGGCCCTTTATTACATCATGTCTATGATGCAGAACGTGCACATTCCTAATGCATTTGTGTTTGAGGTGGCCACAAACCAAACAGTACACAGCGGACCTGGAGCAGTGTACTGTTTCACAGGCAGGACTCTGAGCAAAAACGCCGTCATGTAAACTAATATTATACACAGAGAGTGGGGGGGGTCAGTGGAGGCTCACAGGTAGTTTTCGCCCCAAGGACCCCCGTGCAGTTTAGTGTAGCCCTGGCAGTAGTACAAGTCAGTAGTTTTACTGTGGGCCAGTGTTACAGCCAGAAGAACAGAAGAGCGAGTTGTGTATTATACTGTACATATTTTCATTCTACATTTAATTATGTTTGATGTCCACGGACGATCCTGCACCACTGGTTAACGGTGTGTTGTAGATTGTGCTATTACTGTTATCACACTATGTATAATCAGTACACAGTACAACTGTGGGTTTTAGTTTTATGTGTATTTTTTTTTACTTTTTTACTTTATTTAGCTGATTATTTATAATTTAGTCTTTAATGACATTGTTTCACTGCTGTGTAGTTTCACTGCTCTGGCAGTCTCATGTTGATGATGTCATCCTCCTCCAGGTAGCGATGGGGAACACCGACAGCCACAGCAGCTTTGTGTCTCCTGCCAAACCCTCCCGCTCAATCAGGTTCTCCTCCAGGAGGGAGGAGGTGCCGTCAGCTCGCAGCTGGTGGAGGAGCAGCCAGGGGGGCTCCAAGAACTACCTGAACCAGCACGCCACCAGCCCGCCGTACACCTCCTGGCATTATGAACCTAAAGCAGCCAGAGGAGCCGGGTCTCCTCAGACGTACAGCAGGAGCCAGTTTGGGGGAAGTAACGGCACTTGTGGTGAGCGGATGACCCCGGAGAGCGGCGGCAGCCCTAAAGTGCTGCTCAGCAAAGACGGCAGCATGAGGGTGGGGTTCACCAACAGCAGGGTCGCCCACTTGGAGCCACAGAGGTTAACCGGCCCCCCCACCGCCACCAACACCACTGCCTCTGTTGCCAACTCCTCCCTCCGCACCAGCAAGGGCAGCTCGCTCAGCTCCGACGGCTCCTGGTACGACTCTCCTTGGGGCACAGGTGCTGAGCCGGCAAACAGCGTGTTCCCCTTTGGGCAGAGCATGGATAACAGCAGCGGGTACACTACCTACTCCTCCACCCGCACAGAGGAGGCTGCCACCACCAGCAGCAGATGCAACACCACCTTCTCAGCTCAGGTGGCGGACATGTCACCTGGATTTAACACCGCCCTCCTCTTCCCCGCCACAGAGGCCAATGAGTTCACCTCCACCTCCTCTGGTCAAACAGAAGACAGTGGCATCGGGGACTCTGTGATCCTGCAGCCGGGCCTCAGAGACCTCAGCCTGGTTTACACCAGCCGCAACATACTGCCCGCCTTCCCCACAGCACCAGACACTTCCCTGCAGCAGAATGGACCGCCGCCGCCTCCTCGGCGCTGCCTGATGGTGTCATCCTGGATGAGGAGGGTTCAGCTGGAGGTGTGGAGCTGTGTTACTCCTCTCTCACGCTGCCCTGTCGCAGGCCTGAGCTGGTCAGCACCACCTGTGTGAACAGCCGCAAAGATTTCCTGAAGAGCCGACTCAGACGTCTCAGTGACTGGACAGGAAGTCTGAGCAGGAAGAAGAGGAGGGTCCAGGTGAGAAATGAAGTTAAAGAGGAAGGCGGGAGTAGGAGGGCAGGTATATGGAAGATTTGAAATGCTTAAATAAAAACATTTTAAAAAGTCGAGCATAATACACATTATTATACACGATTCATACATACACAATTTCATACACGAAAAACAAGATTTAGCCTTTTTAATTTCTGTTATATCAGTGATTGTCCTTTTAATGTTTTTAATTGAATCATGGATTGTTCCACTTCTCTCCCTCTCGTTCAGACAGAATACATGTGTATGAACGAGAGGGAGGGAAGTGGAACAGTGAGGTTACAGGGGCCTGAGGTCAAGAAGGTGCAGGAGTTTAAGTTTTTGGGGTCAACAGTCCAGTGCGATGGAGAGTGTAGGGACGAGGTGAAGAGGCGAGTGCAGGCAGGTTGGAGTAGGTGGAGAAAGGTGTCAGGAGTGTTGTGTGACAGAAGAGTGTCAGCAAGAATCAAAGGAAAGGTGTACAAGACAGTAGTGAGACCAGCTATGGTGTATGGGTTAGAGACTGTAGCAGGGAGGAAAAGACAAGAGGCAGAGATGGAGGTAGCAGAGATGAGGATGTTGAGGTTCTCTTTAGGAGGGACCAGGATGGACAGGATTAGGAATGAGCACATCAGAGGGACAGCTCAGGTTGGCTGTTTGGGGGACAAGGTCAGAGAGGCCAGATTGAGATGGTCTGGACATGTGCAGAGGAAGGATAGTGGTTATATTGGTAGAAGGATGTTGGAGATGGAGCTGCCAGGCAAGAGGTCAAGAGGAAGGCCAAAGAGGAGATATATGGATGTGCTACAAGAGGACATGAAGTTAACTGGTGTGAGAGTAGAGGATGCTGAGGATAGAGTTAGGTGGAAACAGATGATTCGCTGTGGCGCCCCCTAATGGGAACAGCCAAAAGAAGAAGAAGAAGAATTGAATCATGGATTAATAAATGCATTCATAAAGAGGAAATACGTATAACGATGTGTATTTTATATTTGCTTTTATTTAGACATTTCAAGTCTTCCACGTACATGTACATGTTGTAGTACCAGTAGCTCTGGTATGATATCCATTAGTAATTGTGGTTTTGGAGACATTGTTGTTTATTTTTGTTTACTCTTTTTTTTGCACTTAAATTTTTGTCTGTTCTATTTTCATGAGTTTAAAATTCACTTTCCATTTTCAAATGTGTCCACATTTGCTATTTCACTATGTGTCACAGTGTCCTTTTCAGTTTCACTTCTCTTTTCACCATTTGTTATTACAGTGGTCTTTTTTTGTCATTGTCCCTTTAAAATTAAATTCTGTCCTCAATAGAAACTATGCATACAGTGCTAGTAACTGTTTTATCTGTGTAAACGACTTAAACATGGAAGCTGTTACCATGGAAACACTGTTTATTTAAGCATCCTTTAATACACAGTTGCTGGATAAAATGTTCTGACAGTGTAGCGTAATGCAAAACTTACTGCTGTGATAATAACAATGGTGAAAGGATGGTGATGTTCATTTTATATATCCATGTTTTCACCCAACAC